ACAGTAGACATGATCAATCAAATGGTACATTGCGCTAAGGGAGATTATATCGTGACACTGGAATCAAAATATCTCAGAGACACTGTGAGCAATAATCATGCGAATAGAGTCATTTCTAATTTTGTAAGAATTTATGTGAATTGGGCTGTGGTGAAGGACCAGAGTCAGCCAATGCGAGCCAGGATTGCCGGACGCGTTACCCCGAGTTTGAATCGACCCTTGAATAGTTTGGAGATGATAGAGCTACCTCTAAATATACAACCTACATTGATCGCCTGCTGTCAGAGTACTGGTAATTTATTGGTAGCCTCAGGAAACAGTGCTATTTTACACGAGTTCAAGATTGAAACGCAACAAGTATCAAAAATGAAATTCATAGACTTTGAGCCTAGACCATGGTCCTTGGGATTTTCATTTGCACCAACACATATGGAAATTGTGGAAGATTTTATAGCAATTATGGATAATATAAATTTGTCCGTTTTTCGTCTCACAAATTCAATGTATGAAGATATTGACCAACTTAGCTCTTTAGCTTCCACAAATTCTTCTTCCGTTGATAAGACATCCATATCCACAGACTCATCTTTGGTAGAAAATAGTAATAGCCTTGGAAATGAAGATATGACGTTGCAAGGAACGAATACAAAGCACAAGTCTATAGATCAAGATTACCAACATATGACATCTGAAAATAATGAGGCAGTGGTAACCAATGTAAAATCTAAAGATAAAAAGCACAAAGGCATAAAAGGAAATACATGGTATAAATTAGAAATTGTCGATTTCAACAGAACAAAGCCAAGTAATAATAAGAATTACATAGATTGGGAACACTTGGTATGCAATGAGAAAGATGAGATGCACAGACTAATTACACATGGAATTATTGATCCCACTTCGCAACCATTCACAGTCAATTTGCCATTGATAAGTTCAGAAAGGGCTGGACCAGGTCACGCTCTCAGCCCCTTTGTCCTAAATTCAGCAGACATAAGAATCTTCATCAAAACAACCTCACCTGACATAGGTTGGTCTGAAAATTACATAATAAAAAATTTGTTATGTCTGAAAATCAACGCTGGTAATAATAATGTCAAGATAGACGGAATTCTAGATATCTTTAGATGTCTGGTATTGAAACCATTATACATGAAGAGAGAATGTAACATTACTGGCGTGAAAAAATCCATGTTGAAGTCTGACAAGTATAGATATTTACAGGGTGTGAGTTGCTTCGTTTGCACTACACAGGAGGGATACTTGTATCACTTTTCGGCGGCAAGCAATAATGCCCTGGATACAACGTGTCTGACCACTTATCCATTCACTGCACCTGTTCATCATGTAGCATTGGAGCATACAATACTTCATGCATTGACCGAGGCTGGTCTCGAGTCCTACACATTACGTCTTTCTCATCATATTGCAAAACTTTCAAATTGCATGGACGGCGTTAGAGTAACTTGTCCCAGTATTACTGAACCGGTAAGTCTAATCGGTTTGAGGCCGTTCTTAGGGATACAAAAACTATTGCACACAAAAACTTACATAGTGTTGTTGGCTAAGGCTGACAGTTCTTGGACCATGTACTCTCTAAATCTACCTAAACTCGAGAACATATATTTCGACATCTTGAATGCGGCAAAAAATCATAAATCCTCCAGTCCAAGTACTTATCGACATTTGCTGGGAGAAGCACATACCTTGATACGCTTGGCGAAAGATGTATCTTACAACGACCTGAATAACGAAGAATTCGACGATACGATGCATAAAAACGATCTTAAATTGAAAAATCTTTATAATCAATCTTGTGCGTTGCTTGCGGATTACTATATACAATCGGAAATTGAATCGGATTGGGATTTGTGTATTCCCTACTATAAGATGTCTGGGTTGAAGCCTTCGGAAGTATTATCTAGAAAATGCAGTCAGGACGCACCGGGACTTTTAACATTTTTGACGGAAGCGCTTTTCACAATGAAAAGCGGATCCGAGGCGGACGCGCTCTTCCAAGGGTATAATATTATAGAGATCATTTGTAAGTTGGAAAAAGAGGATCTATTGAAACTGATCTTCGGCAGTCCTGTACTGAGGGAGTACACCACTGAGAAATTAATAAACCTTCTGCTGACACACGAGACCGACGACATTGTCAAACTTGCCCTGGCACTCTTATACATCCAGGCCGACAAACAGGAACAAGCGGAGAAAATGCTGGAACCAGTTTCCGTGCAATGTATTAAACAGATCATCCTGGCGCGCTGGGAATTGCTGTTCGATATAACTGCGATGAAAAAGAGGAGTCCTATGATCCCCACTTTCTCGGACTTTGCCGGTACCTTGATGCTCATAAAGAATACCACTTTCGCAGATATTCTCATACAGATAATAGAAGACGAGGGTGCATTATCATTGCATCAAATCATACAGGTTTTCCTGGAATATTTACCGTCACGAGTTGGAAGAGACGGACACAATGCGGCCGCTACGTTGCAAGTTTTTCTCGAGAAATATCTACACGATTATTTCAGCTCGAAGTCAATGATCGAGTGGCCGTTGGTCGTAAATAAAAATCAGATACGCTCGGACTTTGCTCTCGTGGAAGCGTTCAAGTTGTTAGTACGATCGTATTTAGGTAAATTAACTCAAACAAAAATATATAAAACTGATTCCCAAGATGATGAGGGGAAGAACGACAAGGAGTACTTCATGTTCGCCAAGTATCGACCCAACTATTTGAATAAAATGCCACCATACGCTAAAGATTACCAGAAAATTTTAAACATGAACGATTTTAAAGATTTAACGAATTTTAATAATGCATCAGAAAGCGAAAAAATTATACCCAAAGAATTGTTTAAGCTGCAATCTGTATTATCGTGTGAATTTTTACCAATTGAATGTTTGCACGAGGTCAAGCAATTTCTTGAAACACAAAACATTGATGGGAACTTATCTCTCAAAACTTTATGTATTCAGAATACGGAAGAAGTAACGACAATTCTAATGGATAATTGTCCACAGGCTGTAGTACAGTATGCAAAGGTATTTGTATCAAACATGATACTAGATTGAAATGTAAATCTTGCCAGAATATTTCACTGTCTTTCTGTTTCAGGATAAATATACAAAGGACACCGAATGGAAATATCTTATCAAATTAACACAGGATAAAATTACCGCTTCAATAATGCAACAGGAATTACAGCTCTTGTACACGCAGATCATGAAGGGTAAGTTAAACATACATAATATGTGAATAGTATATATAATAATATAATAAAATAATCTCTTTTCGAATTTATAGAGATCTTGAATTATCTGCCGCATACATTACCTATGAAAAGTCTTCATCGCGTCTTACCAAAAGATGATATGGCAACATTTCAACGATGCACTGAAATGTGCAATCAAATAATGCATGCAGATCACGTAAAATCGTTGATAATGGAAACCGGGCAACAACTTTTGACAACTCTAAAGTTGTGAAGATAGGAGTATTCATTAAATATTTATTAGCTAATTTCTAGACAAAGAAGTGATAATTGAGGAATTACAAATATAAATTCCAGTATCACGTTTTAGCAATTATATTACGGAAGACTACTTTGTGTGCACTTATAATCGCAAATTAACTATTTCTACAAATGTTTCAGACATATGTTCCTGATCAATGCAGTCACATAAGCTAATGTTCGTTAGTTAATAGTTGTGCTGATGCACTCATTTTTAATGATGCATAATCGTCATCAATTATAAAAAAAAAAAAAAACTCGAAGACAAATACTAGAACCAAAATTCGTCTATAATTAATTGTTGAATCGTGTTTTATATAGATATATTATATTATGACTAAAGACATAAAAAGAATTTGTCCCAGAGCAAACAAGGTGCAATAATTTTAATATATTCAAATTTGACAAAAATTAATGTATACATAAATTAGAAATTTGAAGCACATTACTTCTACAGAAGAAAAAATTTATACAATATATTAGTAGAATCTCGTTAATTTTGACCCTATGAGACGAGAGGAGCAAAAATTCTTGGAGAAGAAAAATTAATATCTTCATTACAGTGCGAAGCTGTCCAATCACCATGTGCTTGCACAAATGCAGATGTGTGCACAAGGCTCTTAAAAGATACAGCTATACACAGATGCTTTATCATCTAGTGGACCTATTATGATATGAAAACAGTGCGATATTAGTGTTTATGAAAATACGTGTGGAGGGGAATCAAAATTAATGGGGTCAAATTTAAGGAGACTCTATTGTGTAATTATATTATAATTGATGACATTTAGAAGTAATTATATAAATATTTGATTTATTATACAGAACTATTAGACAGAATTGTACCAAGATTTTTCATAATCATCAAATTCTTTCTGCTCTAGGACAGATATGTCTTTAGCAAGATGAATTTTACTAAAATAGTTTTTATCAAATCTGTTGATCCTAACAAATAGTTTTACCTAATCAATTTTTAAGTGTTACAAAATATGTAACTTTGATGTGCCTTTAGGAATTATTTCTTCTTTATTGTAAATCTAATTATGTTAAAATTGATCAATAATATTTATAATTCATTATAAGATAAAAAAATACATACATAATACAGCAATTGTTTAGATCTTCTTTACATCTTGTTTGCAATCTTTATCCTTAACAGGATAAACAATAATTATTATCAATAATCATTATTAGGCCTATTAACATAAAAAAATTTTTCAATTTTTTGTTAATATTACAGAATAATATTTGATATATATATCATAATAATAAACATAAAAACACATACATACACATATTCATAACTTTTGTTAAAAACATTTTATAAAACAATGTTATGAGTAAAATTTACTTGTTTTTTCCAGTAGAATTACAAAATGTTATTAAATATAGAGCATTCCATTTGAAATTCTGAAGTTATCTTCCCACTCTCTTTATAAAAGTATTATAAAAGAAACAAAGACAAATTTATTTTTACATGATTAAAAAAGCTCTTTGGAGATGTGTAATTTTCTCCTAAACAATTTTTCGATTGATTAAATATTTGTGGATTTATAAGCTTGTAACACTTTATGTAGGCTATCTTGTGTGTATGTATGTGTGTATATAATTGTGCCCCATAATATACTATTGAATGCTCATAATTATATTGTTAAAATAATGAATTATTTCTATATTATTTTAATTATTATTTTTTCCTAATTTTGTTTTATAGATGCATGATATCAAACATGTTTTTTTCAATTATATTTTAAAAGCTAAACTAAAATGAATATATTTATTTTAAATTGGTCAAAGAATCAGTATGTAAAAAAAAGTTCAATGTATTGTATATTTGTATATCTTTTGTTCTTAATTATTTAAAATATTCTACATTTTATTTCTGCTAATTATATATTTTGCTAAAGTATAATGGAAAAAAATTTTTTTTCACTTCTTACCTGTGCACGAAATAATTTATATAAAAAATGAATCATATTGTGGAATTCATTATATAGCTGCATCCATTTATATGATTTCAAATTCCTTATTTAACTTGGATAGATCTCTGGAACAAAAGGAGAATAACATAACGTTTCGAGCATAAATTATCATTATAAAACCTTTCTTGTAGTTTATACTAACTGTAAGAAATGGAAAGACCATAAATTACCTGTTTTCTACAGCTTCCATCAATTCATATTTATGCATCAATGATATAACTAATCTTAACGTGGACCATATTGTGTTTGACATTGCTTTAGGAGATACATTGCTGGCCTGTGGGCCTCTTCCTGCAGCTTGTTGATTTAATGCTGTCAAGAGGTGCTCACCTGCTTCTCTATATCATATGATTTCATTGATATGAGACATTGCTATTCTCTTTCTCTTTATATTTCAAAAATATATTTTGAAAAGTCTATACTTACTTATATACTCCCAGATTAACACAAGATATGCCAAGATTGTAACGTGCTCGAATAAATCCGGGCGATAGCTCTAAGGCACGATGATACGCGTTTACAGCTTCTGCCGATCGCTGGCCATTAGCGAGAGTGGCACCCAATCTATTCCATAATCTGGAATCCTTTTGGAAATGTACAGTTATTAAATATACTGATTAGCCCAACCCATCAAAATGGAAATATGTTACACTTACATCAGGGCGTACTTGCAATGCTGCTTGGAAACAATCCACAGCTTTGTTGTAATCACTCGACAAATTAAACAGTATACCTAGTCCACATTGTATATCCGGATCAATTTCATCTCGGGGATTCATTCTTGCTGCTTGAATATATAAATCTTTCACTTCATCATATACTTTACTACAACAAAGTATTATGTTAAAAATAATTTCTCAGCATTAAAACTTATTTTTAACTTACTCATATAATAAGGTGGATACACTGAAAGTCGGATGTTCTTCTCTTGTAAGATCAGACTCTGGAACTGATAGATGTTTATATTTTTCATTCTTTAGTAACCACTCCTTCAATGTTAGGCAAGCTTGCTTCTGATAGGATTCATTTGCATAAGAAGCTGCTAATGCCATGAGAGCAACATTGTTACATGGTTCCAAGCACAGACAACGATTTAAAGCGGAGATAGCCAAAGGATCTTGCTCGTTTTCAGCTTGTGTTTTACCAAGGAGTAGCCACGCTTCAACATTATTTTCATCCTGTTGAACAGCTGCTTCAAAACAGAGTACAGCACTTGGTAAATCTCCCGCTTCTAATCGTTTCTTGCCTTCTGCCAATGCATTTGGTAAATCCTTCATAGGATTTGTTTCACAAAATTCATATTCCTTGTTAAATGGATCGTAATATGTGTCAAACTCTGATACCCATGGATGTGTAGAGGAGAGCCCATCTGCAGATACTTTATCCCATTCGTCTTGAAACTGTTTCCATAATGACTTTGGATGTATGTGTTCTAAAATGTATCAATCACTTTTATGTTAATTATAATATATATACAAAATACGTATTTCCAAAGAGAAGCTAAGAATACCTGAGGATGGATTTTCCTTTACAAATTCGTCTATCCATGTACCCGCAGCTTCTAATTCTTCTTCTACTTTGTTCAAGACTGTACTGTCATAATTAATGTTATTAATTGAACTATCTTTTGTTTTTTGTTGATCTGCATGATATTGCTCTATCCATTCTTCAATTGGATCATCCAAATTAGCTGTTTCTGTTCGAGTGCTTTCTATTGGAATATCACCTTCTTGTTTCATAAATTTCATAAACCTTGAATATGCATAATTCGGATCTTCATCTTTTATGATTTGAGCTTCATTGTCTTTATCAACATTATCTTGTGCACTGTTTATGCTATGTTCTAAATATTCTTCCATCCATTTTGAATCTAGACCAAGTTTATGAGTTTCAAGAAACTGTGTGTTTTCTTCCTGAGTGTGTTGTTGTATTAAAGATGTATTCCATATATTATCCACATGAAGTTCCTATATATTATTATGATAATTAAATATTTTTAATACTAGAAAGTTCTATAACTGTATGTAGCAATAAATAATGTTTTATGAAATTACTTCAAATTGCTTATCAGTTTTAAAACATAGATTTTCCCAAGCTGTGTTTAGATCACTTAATTCTTTGACGACTCCAGGTGCTGCTCTCGGGGGATGAATATTTTGATCAATTTCTCTCATTTCTTGTAGTAAATTGTCCATCCGAAACGTTTGTGGACAAGCAGGTTCTTCTAAGAATTGTTGAACTAACCGATCCGCATCTTGTGTTTGAAAAGTCTCAGCTGGACTAAATGGCTGGTGAATTCCTTCCTCTTTAAAACCATGATCTTGTACATAATGTGATGTAAGGCGCATTAACGAGCTGGGACCTCCACAGTCTCCTTCTACTAACTCGCGAAATGCCATTTTTTTATATTGCTATTGAAACTTCCTGCAAAAGAAAAAAAAAATATTACTAATTTAATCCTTTTATATGTACATTATCCAATATTCAGATATTAAATCCAATATTTATATTTATATAAAATGCAACGTTAATCAGCCAAGTTATAGCTGTTGGATTCTCGCAAATCTACTGTAAAAATAAATAATTAACGATCACCTGAGTATTATTTCGCCGTATTTACTCGCTTCGCCCTAATTATGTTGGGTTATCGTGATGCACGTTTCTCAGGAATGAATAGCAAGAATTATGCTGATTTTACGATCGAGACTTTGCACCGAGACAGCTGGAGAAGGGAGGGGAAAAGCTGGACGAGGAACGCGTGCGATAGTTTAGCGAGTGACAGCAAGAGCAAAAAATGATGCGAAGAGCTCAATGGATAAAGCCTACACTAGACAGTACATTGAAGATTGAAAAATTTAATCAGGACAGAAGGAGCTAAAATTACTTTGTTCTGATTGGTCAAATTTCGATATTCAATCTTCAATGTGTAGTACTCTGATTATCTGACCGACGAAATATATTATTAAAGACCCCTGGCCCTGGATAAGTTTTCGCGACTATCAAGTGAGACCGGTGGGCCCGGAGATAATAGAACACATTTTGATGACATTTTAAAGATAATTACATGAGTTATTTAAATCATGCGATTATTTTAGCTCATCCGGCTATTGTTTTATTATCGAAAATGTTCAGATCTTTTAAGTAGCCTCAAAAATAATAAAATAAATGTTTTATTATACCAAAAACTACTGTTTTATTACCGACAAGATTTACTTATCTACAGTAGCGCGTAGCGAGTTCTTTCCGGTCACGCTAAATCCTCCGTAAGTCATCCATCGGTCTTTAACAACTGATCGTCAGTGTCTATTAGGGCCGCTTATTCGACCTTCGATCAAATTCCGATTAATTTAATTGTTGATTAATTCACAGGGCGACCAACATAAAACATTTCTAACGGTATAATATAATACAAAAATTTTTAAATTCTGCTTTCGATCGCTCTGTAAATAATTAATCAAATTATAAATTCTTTTATATTTGGATAATTTATATTATATTATACAAAAAAAACTTTAGTTTACTGAAGAAAAATCTTTTATGAATCAAACATGATGTTATAAAATATAATTTTATAAATAGAATATGTTATATTCTTAGTTTTTCATGTTTCTCGATAGCGCTCATCGAGGTATATTTTTCTTTATATAGCTGCTCCGAAACATAACTATCAGAAGTTTTCTGGGGTAACACCGCGGAGCCACAATCGAGTCTCTAGTGACTTTATTATTCAGCTCTGAGGAAGGTCCCTGGACCCGTGGCAGAAAGTGCCGTAGCTTAAGTACTATTATCCTCCACCATCTCACGAATTTAAGAAAGGAAGCTCCGGCTGATCTTTCGTGATGCGGGTGCGAGAGTATTGGTCAAAGCAAAAGTAATGTGTATAAAAATGAGTTTACTCATTGAACCAAACAGGGCCTATCAGACCAGGAAACTTCAATTTTTTTTTTGTATATATATGTATATTAATATACATATATAATACATTAATATTGTAATAAAAATATAACTGCATAGAATATATAAAAATTATATACAAATTTGGCTTGTGATTCCTGCCGACTTTTAAAATATACATCGCTTTAAAAAATTACTTACACAGTAAAATATAATATTTTGTATAAAAATAACTATAGCAAAGAAAGATTATTTAAAAAGAGAATCAGGCTAATAAGAATAATATAATTTTCAAGAATGAGATTATCAGAATCAATTATTTATTTCCAGGAAATTCTTTTAACTTACCAATTAATATGAACTATATATGTGATGTTTTGTTTCATATCTTGAGATGACAATGTTTATATCTTCCTCTCTTATTATCAACAATATCTTATTATCGCATTATCTTATTATATAATATACAATGCAATATTATAAGTTCACGATAGATATCGTGTTAACAATAATCGGTATTTTCACATTATCTATGATGTATGATTAATAAAATAACCTATAATTATCTTCCTCTATGAAAAACAAATAAATGTTTGTTACAGCGTATATTTAATAACTTATATAACTCAATGTACATCTCATCAAGAGGTCGTGACTTGGAATTTTATCGCTTTACAATGATATATTGAAATAATTATGACTTCTTAATATTCTATACCTTTAAATGCTGCATTGCAAAATATAATTTAAGACTTATTCAATGGCAGAGAACAAAGAAAAAACAAAAGTATCACGATGTTTTTCTGATAAAAGCATCAACTTAATAACTTTTATATCGGAGCATTATACAATAACGAATAAAAATGATTATATTGACGTAATATAATTAATAGTCTAAGAATCTAGAGAAGTATTTCTTATATAATATGATTCACATATTTTACCCGAAACTAAAGAAAAGCTCAAATACACATGATCTATGATCTATGATTAATAAAATAACCTACAATTATCTTCCTCTATAAAAAACAAATAAACGTTTGTTACAGCGTATATCTAATAACTTATATAACTCAATGTACATCTCATCAAGAGGTCGTGACTTGGAATTTTATCGCTTTACAATGATATATTGAAATAATTATGACTTCTTAATATTCTATACCTTTAAATGCTGCATTGCAAAATATAATTTAAGACTTATTCAATGGCAGAGAACAAAGAAAAAACAAAAGTATCACGATGTTTTTCTGATAAAAGCATCAACTTAATAACTTTTATATCGGAGCATTATACAATAACGAATAAAAATGATTATATTGACGTAATATAATTAATAGTCTAAGAATCTAGAGAAGTATTTCTTATATAATATGATTCACATATTTTACCCGAAACTAAAGAAAAGCTCAAATACAGATCCAGATTTTTGAACTATTAAATAGAGATGTTCGAGTTTTAGATTTGAACATGCAGTTTGTACAGTTCGAATGAAATATTTAATATTATTGAATTATTTAAGTAATTTTTAATTGTCAAGCAAATTCAACAGTACCAAAATATATAAGAAAAATTTAAACGTAAATATATAGTAATCACGATAAATAAGAATAACCAATTCTTTTTGTTTCTTCTCTTATTACATCATCTAATTATATTTTTGTTGTTTTATCTAATTCAAGTTTTTGAATTGTGTTGGGATATATATTTTTTTTGGGGATACGGTTTGTGTAATATTTTGTTATTTATATAACATACAATTTATAGTCTCGATACAGATTTAAACAATTTAAGATCTGAGAAGCTTTTGGAATAATTTCAACTGTTGTATCACGTTCTTCCCGTTTCTATTCGTCAAAAAATCCAAGCACTAATTTCATATTGTTATAATATAACACAATAATATCACAATATTATTATAGGTCTTTTATTTTTAGCGTCTGATTAATTGATAAGAGGATAAAAAAACTGAAGATTTGGGGATACAGTACACTTTTAGATTTTGTTTTATATCCGAAATAACGGACGATATGAGATGAATTTCGTTCTGCACAGAGATAGTTCTGCACGAGAAACTATACATTTTTAGATCTTGTTTCTCATCCACAACATTGGACTATCACTAATTTTGTTTGTTTATAACTTTATAATAAGTAACCAGCGACTAAAACTTTTTGAGCATTGCTCAGGTTATTGCCATGACCTTGTTTGCAAAATATAAGGCCATTAAAATTAATGAGTCCAATATCCATTTTTGTATGCAAGATTTTTTTCAGGAAAAATATTTCATCTCATGAATAATTCATGACAAGATATTATACATATTTACCTGACATAGATCCGTGATAATATCTATTAAAAATATTTTCAATCTATAATTAAATTCGGAAATATTTTATAGTACATATAGTACAAAAAAAAAAAAACAAATTATAAATTATACAATAAATATAAAAAATTGTAATTATATAGAGTGTTTCCTAATAAGTGGGAAGTATTGGTGGATTCAAGATACAAAAATAAGAAAAAAAGTTTATATAAACATATGTCCGATATGACCTTATTTTCGAGTTATAGTCTGTTTTATTTTTCAATATTTTCAACTTTTTTGCATCTAATTCTGACTGCATTACCATTAGAAAATCCATATATTAGATGCATGCCTGCCATTTTATTGTTTGACCAAGTCATAATTTTTACTTTAAACGTAGACTCTGTTGCGTTAATAGCGTTAACATATGATACTTTACTTTCACTGATTGTGAGCACAAGATACGAAACGTACCACAATACAGATAACTTTATGAAAGTGTTTATGTTTATAGATTAGCAAGATCTCAAATTCTTCAAATTTTTGAATCCATCACTGCAATACTTCCACTTATTAGAAAACACCCTGTATATATTTATAATAAATATAATAAAAATTATATAAAAAAATTATATTAAAAAAGACGTCCACACACACACATATAGGTCAAAATCAAAATGTTTTTTCAAGAAATTATGCTATTCGTACATTTCCAAGAAAGTAAATATCCATTTTCGATATTGTACATTTTGTGTTATTTAGAAGAAGTTATAAATTAAAGCCTACGTGAAATCGTAGAAAGAATAAGATATTGTAATATATTCATAAATTTGAAATTGAATTTAAAAAGCATTTTTAATCATTTATAAGAATTGTTGACTATCTCTACTTGCGTGCACGTAAAAACTTTAGCCGATTATAATACAAAAACACAATCTGCATATATATGTACAATGATAATAAATTACTATGTAGGTTTATGGAATCGTTTTTTTTGTATCCTTTAATTTCTTTAAGTAGCCTGTTATTTGTATTTTAGTGGATTATATCGCTTTGAAGGATAGTAATTATTATTGTTAAGTTTTTTTCTAATATTTCCGCAATCATTCAATTGGCTCATTCATGCATCATTATCATCTTACTCATAACAATCCAAACAAGTTCTTGTTTCGGTAAAACGTATAAATAGGATGTACATTCGATTCGATTATTCAGTATCTTTTTCACGAGATAGTGTAAACGAAAATGACTCGGTTAAACTGCATCGTGATACTTATCGGTATTGCGCTATTGTGCGTTTTCGCGGAAGAGCTTTATTCTGATCAGTATGATCATATCGACATAAATAATATCCTCAATAACGATAAACTGCGAGACCAATATTACAACTGTTATATGGAAACTGAACCATGTCTAACAGCAGATGCAAAGTTTTTTAGAGGTATGTGTATATCCATAAACAGAGTATTTTGATGCTTTTTCTTCTTACAATTAGATTCTTTGGTCAATTTATAGAAACAATTTTTTCTTAACAAGTGTATCTCTATATATGCATTTTAATAATAATCAATAATTGTGTATAAATAAAAGTTTCTGGCAAACTAAATATAAAGTGAGACTATCGATGAAAAAATAAAATGTTTCTCAATTAATCTTACATATATAAATTTTACTTTATTAAATTTTAATTCACTTAATTATAGAATTATATAATATTAAAATTCAGAAAATTTTAAATATTACATCAGTAATGACGTTACAAAAAAATTTTTTTTTAAGAAAGAAAACTATATAACTTACTCAAAGAGAGAGAGAAGAGAGAAAGAGAGAGAGAGAAAGAATCTATTATTTAAAAATATAATACAATAATTGTTTTGGAAAGCTCTTGACATAAGCTATAAGAATATGCAATAAAAAATTGGGGGTTCTATTTAAGAAAACATCGATCACATTGACTTGGCCTCGAAAAGGTCACTCAAGGTCAAGTCCATATTTTCATCATTGTGTGTGTGTGTGTGTGTGTGTGTGTGTGTGTGTGTGTGTGTGTGTGTGTGTGTGTGTGTGTGTGTGTGTGTTTGTAGGAAATATTAAAGTACTATATGTATCCGTCAATTAAATATACTAAATCTTTTACTTTTTTAACTATATTATAATTTTGATAAATTCCATTTATAATTGTTAATTGGAAACAAGAGCTATAAATAATATTAAAATAAATTTTACACATTTTTTTTGTTTTGACTTCAGAAATCGCTGGCGAAGCTTTTCAAACAAAATGCAAAAGATGTACTGAAAAGCAAAAGGAAATGATGGATTCATTAGTCGATTGGTATACAAAAAATAAACCTGACCTATGGCAAAAGATTGTTGAGAAAAGCTTAGAGGATATGAAAAAGAAGAATGCTGGTCAATAATTGCTGACGAATGCTGCAAAAGGTGATAAAAATAACGACACAAAATCCGAAATATTAGAACTTTATAATGCTATAGTTTATTACTAACAATAAATTGTTGTTATATAATCTTTTAATGATTGTATTGTAGTATTATTGTTGTTGTAATGTTATATATTAATAATAAATAGAATATAATAATAAAAAGAAAAATCTGTTATTTTTTTGCTGACAATAATTTGTAGCAAGCACTTGGCAATATCTGTTAGAACAGACGTGGCTGACTGGGAACTTAATTTACAAAAAGTTTTTAAAAATTTCTAGATGTTTTTATCTGTTTAAGCTAACTAAAATTATATAATAATTATATTAATATTTGTACTAATTAAATCTGTCTATAAAATTTAAAGAGAAGCAAAAGATATAAAAATAATAAAATAAATAAAATAAAATTTTTTTTATGCGACAATATGTAAGAAAGAAATGATTGAATAATAATTAATGAAAATAATTAAAAAATACTTTAGTTGCTTTTAGCTTAAAACAATTTTAATTTAGATATTTTAAATTGTATAATTAAAATCAAAATTATTTACAATCATAACTATTAAAGTGTCAGCTGCAAGTATGAAATATCAAGTATTATATATTATGTGTATCAGACTACGTATTGAAAACTAAAAAGGAACTAAAATTTCTTTCTTCTGATTGGTCAATTTTCAATCTTAAATCTCAATCATAAATGCATAGTTTGATATGGGCTTTAGACAAAGAAATTTTAGCTTCTTTTGATCTTATTAGTCAAATTCCAATCTTTAATCTTCAAACTCTCTTTAATACATTGTCTGATACGAGCCTGACAGCATGTCGTCTGCTCCGCTATGGACTCGACATGGCTACTTCAGTCAAATGGAGGAACTACCAATCAGAAATTGCGACGCCGTATTTGCTTCTCTATTTTTATATATAGAGTCTAGTGTCTAGTGTCGACACTAAGTATATACATCAACTTCGTCTCTATCTAATCTGTTTAGTTTTGCATGTTTGCGGGTTTTATGCTGAATAAAATACTGTACGGAAAGAACGTCTGTCAAAGTCACGGAAAATAGTTATCGGAGTCCTTGATCCTAATCTTTAATTTTGTAAACATTAGGTTGATAAAACGCATTAATTATTCTTGCATCAGTTATGAGTTTCCACAATCTTTTGCAACGTGACATATTATGACGGTGCAAGAAAAGTCTAACCTAAAAGAGGGCGTTCTTGACATAACGTAATCGGTATTACTATCTCCGGTTGCCCACTAAATCTCGTTAAACGATGAGCGATGCGTATCAAGGGCCTGCTATTGTTGCTGATCTGCATAGCAGGAAGCAGCATCGTTTTCATTGCTTTCAGCAATCAACGACCTTCCATTCAGACTCTAGTGACGGAGACTCACAAACAATTACGGAACTTCCAGGTAAATATATTGTTTGACAGATTAGCCACTTTTTCATTTTTATCGCATTAACTGTAAGATATCGTTTTAAGGAAAATTTGAAAGACGTTGAGGAGAAACGTCTGGTGACAGATTCCAAATATCTTGCATTGCTTGGTCTGGATGGTCAGACAAGCACTACACCAATCAGTCTCAAGCCTCAGAATGTGACGGTTGTGTCACTCGTAAGGCCTGGAAACGAGCAATATATTTATGGCTTTGTTAGAAACATCAGCCATTTTTTGCCAAATAATAGTATTGTGATTTATAGTGTCGGTTTGAATGAAGATTCCTTACAAAATATTAGACTTGCTTGTAATTCTACAAGATGTAATGTGATTCACTTTGATCTAAGCCCATTTCCTGCTCACGTCGAAGACGACACACTGCATGTTTATAGACCTTTAGTTATTCAAGTGAGTAACAATTTCTACAACGCCTTTATAGTTTTCCAAAAGAATTGTATTGATTAAATCATGCTTTTGTATCACAGACAGCTTTAAATACGCTAGGTAGTATTATCTATATGGACTCAAATGTGCGTCTGAATTCCTCAGACATTTCGAAATATCTTTGTCCAAAATCTGGAATCTTGACTTGGCCTACAAGGCACGCCATTAGTTCCCTAACGCATCCAAAGATGTACGAATACTTTCATGCCTCCGCTGAGAGCTTTTTCTTTCTCCCACTGATTAGAGCATCATACTTAGTAATTAGTAATTTTAAAAACATTAGGGAAAGTGTAATGCTACCTTGGGTCCAGTGTGCATTGACAAGAGATTGTATTTCCCCTATTGGTAAATACTTTTGATTTATGCATTCATATAATTCTATAATTTTTCTCAGTGGGAACATATCAATTTTTTTATTGGTTTTCTAAATGTTAAGCTTTCTTAACTAAATTTTCGTAGGTGCACAGTCAGCGGGCTGTAGGTTCAATAAAAAGCCACAGTATCGATACTCCGGCTGTCACGCGTACGATACCTCTGCATTAAATATAGTGCTGGGATTGCATTTTAACTTCGATGATACATATTATATACACAAGGATCGGGAGATGTATTTTAATAAGATCCAGCCCGAGGAAATCACCGAGGAGTATCTTATGATCACGCGGCAAAATAATGCTACCGAGACCAACGCTAGGAATTTCGTATCGGAACGTTAAACTTTTTTTGATCTCAATTTACCTTAGTTGATATGTCGAACAAGCACAACTTAATTTAAGATTATTAAGCATTGAAAGAATTAAATTATAATAAATAGCAGAATGACGAACAATCCTGGGTTTTCCTTTCAAAGGCATCAAATATCGCCTTTAAATCCTTAATCCCTTAAATCGTTGTAAAATTATTTCCATCAGGGTTATTACTTTTTTATATCTTTTTTACAAAAAGTTAACACTTGAATGTATCTATTGGAATAGTTCGACGAAATGATGATACTATATACATTGCAGTCTCGTTACATTTATTTATAAGGCACTAAATTGTCTCAACATTTGACATAGTTACAATTCATATAATTCATGAATCAATATACTTTTAATGATATATCATGCAAAAATACGAGCTTTTCTCAACAGCCAACGAGAATTAATAGGAGCCCTCTGTGGTAACAAAATTTTTTCGTAAAATATTCCTTACATATATGCAAAAATAAAACATAAAATGTTAAATATTTAATCTAAAAGAACGCATAGAGAAAGAGCTTAAAAAGGTTTTTTGAGGTATATTTATTTTTTTTTATAATTGACGTCAAAAACAATGGACATAATGATATTGTTGAGATAAATAAAAATATACGCAGCGTAGAGAATCAAATCTCGAGTTCTTTTGCGAATTGCCGCAATCTATATTTATCCTGCCTCTCGTCGGCTCTAGTTTCTCAACATACATTTCAATATTCACAATGGAATGCATGAATACATTAAAGTGTAATCATGTAATTGCGAAATCGGTGCAGGTGTTTAGCATCACGTACAATTTACATGATCATGGATTTTTCCTCTTCTTGAAGTCGTTCGATATCAGATTTGTTCATGAAGTAATACGAAGGCTGCCGAGATTTCTAACAATTAAGAAAGTTGTTTTTACCGTATGTATATATGTCTGTGTATGGAAAGAGAAAGAGAGCGTTTGTTATTCGATAAAAATGACTTACCAAATCTTTGACAACGCGTTTTGCGCCTTCCGTAATCAATATATTACTCAAGACTTCCACGGACGGCACTCCCATTGCGTAATGAAGAGCTGTTCTTTCCAACTAAAAAAAAAATATTTTTTATGCGTTACGAAGGTGCAGCACGTTTTTTCTTTTTTTTTTAAATCGTAAATCACCTGAGCAATCAATCTTAACTGACAATAATAACTCATATCTTACGATTGAGAGATTTGTATAATTTTCTTATTCATTTTTTTAAGCCTATCATAACTCGCAGAATTGAACCAATTTTATTTTATCACCCTAATTTTTATACATGTCCCTTTTGAACGATTCGTACATTATCGCCGATGCGTAATGTTTCCGGATACGTTCTCGCGATAAATTTAACAAGCTCTTCATTTTCCCAAAGCACAGCGATGTGGAGTGCGCATCGTCCGAGCGAATTCTTCCCGACAGCCAATAATTTTCCACCCCCGTTGTTCTTGTTCAAAAGTTCCTTTACATGATCCACGTTGTTGGCCCGAATTGCAGCGTGTACCTCCTCACGTTGATTCTGTCGAATATATATCAGACAATTCTGTTAAGCCGTAATTAAAAAAAAAGAAACGTAAATAATAAATTTGTTATCTCATAGATTTTTTTCCGCTATCTTACCACGTAATTAGGAATTGATTGTAGAAACTGCACGGTGGCTTCGTGTTCTCTTTGGGCAGCAACGTCGATGATGTTCACTTCTTCATCCTCGGCGTCCAAGATATGATCGTAACCCTCCAGCAAAAGTTCGACCAGCTTTTCAGTTTCTCCTGCGTATCAAATTTGAATATCGTATGATTCTCTCATTCTATCATTTCTACACGTAAATATAGTTCATCGTTAATATATTTTGTCTTTTTTCTTACCTCTCGCCGCTAGATGAATAACGTAGCGATCAATCTCTTCAACGTTCTCTCGAATATTTGCCTGTTCGGCAACATCTCTTGCTGTCCGATATAATTCGTCCCTGAAACCAACGTTAACCTGCGTCTCCAGTAGCAGGTGATACAGACCATCCTTCGAATAGGAACGAACTGCCGCGAAATGGATCATGCTTTGTCCATGTTCGTCCTGAGAAACATTGTTTTTACTTTTATTTTCTGTGCGAGATAGTTGTATTTATTGCAAGGGATCAGCAGAAAATAAATCGTAGTTTTTTTTCCAAAAAAATATTGTTTTGTAAAAGTGTTGAAATGTATATTTTCATTCACGTACTCTATTAGGATTGCTGAACGTGGATTCAGGTATATCTGAAGCTGGACTTCGAGGATAACCGGCGTCTTCATCGAAATGTTCATTCTCGATATTTTCCAAATTTTCTTCTTCACGCTCAGGTATAATGAGGACATCAGATTCCTAAAGTCAGAGTGAAAAAAAAATAATGCGGAACTTTTCGTCAGGGCTATGATATCCTGTAATATTCAATTCGTCCATTGTTTCAATCAGACATATACCTGTTCGGCTTTGTTCTTGCTGGCGAAGTTGTACAGGTATGTCGCGAGATATGTGACTGGATCCTTTGGACGCGCGTTAGCAACTTCCGTTAATCCTTTAATTAAGGGGTCACCCAATGCTGGAGAATAGAAAATTTCGTTACAACGGATTTTATAATGATATGAAAAATATAACACTTTGCTATGCATGTGTGATATTTACATGATGCTAAATAACGGCCTTCTTCCGTCCGAAATATCGGTATTTCGGCTTCATTATCATCTGTAAGATAAATCCATTAGATTGTTGTAGATTAATTACGAAAGCATTATTGCGTATGTTTTATCTTGGGAATTAAACATTTCAATTAATAATATAAATAGTCACAAAATAAAATTTTATGTCAATTTATTGCATGCACATTATTTTCAATATTAACAATCGGGCAAACTATTAGTTGCTGAAAATAATTATTGCGATTTTGTGCAGATAACACAGGATTTTCGTATAAATTTTAATTATATTTTAATAAAATCTCTTACTTAAGTAAATTTTTTTTTTTAATTTTATCTATCTTTTATGATCTAAGAATTATTTGATGCAATAATGCTTTTCAGTCTTGCAGAAAGTGCTTCATGAAACACTTGTGTGGCATAATCACTCGGCAAAACGTGACAAAACACGTAATTCAGCTTCGCTTGTCATATATACAAGTTCAAAATCTACAATAAACAAGCAGAGACAAACATAACTGAGCAACAAACATGGTTGATCTACTTGAAAAAAGTGCATTGGTGATTGTCTATGTAACATGGTAAGTAATTACAGACGATTGTCAATCAAAAGACGTTTAAATGTCAAAAATCTTCTTATATGTATCTATATACGATAAAAATAATCTTTTATCGTTGAATTAAACTTTTATATTTTGTGTGATTACTCTTTTATTATAATACTATTACATTATAATATATTATTCGCAGCAGAATATAATATTTATAAAAATATATAGAGAGTATACACACACATATATATACAGATTTATTTATACATATATATCAAAAATAAGATATGACACTTAGACGCCTATTGTTTCACATTTTTTGAATTAACAAGTTCAAATTGCACAATGTGAGCCTACAATAAATGAATGAGTAAGAGTAAAAGATAGATAAACGAGTTTATTTTAGAATGAATATAATAACATTGGAAAGACATGTGCTACGTCCTTTTTGTTTTGTGTGAACATCGACTCGTGCATTACATATAAAGAAAGCTTTTGAAAAGACTTCGACATTTTTGAAGCTTATTGTGCCATCAGTATCGCATCGAAAAATTCCGATGTCTTCGATTTTACATGAAAATAGCGCGCTTTACATGCTTATGTATATACACATAAATATAAAAACAAAATATATTTTATAATTCTTACAATTTTGTAAAATATGCTTACGAATTCTTAATTGTATGTGGATCCTTTATGTATGTATGTGTGTGTGTGTTTAGAGGCAACATTTTACTTATATATTTATATTTTATCTCGAGGAAAAAATTCATGTAAAATCGTTATTTTTGTAAAAATATAGATAATATTATATCATACAAATATAATTTTAAATAATTTTGAATTATTTTGAACAAAGATTTACAATGCACAATTGTGAGACTTTGTGCGACAATGATGTCCGTGTATATACCAATAATGCTGATCGTTTACTAACCTAATCAGCAATCCTGTATTCTCGTCGCCGGTTAATCCGGTTAATAGAGCAACTACGATTATGATTTAGCATAATTTCATAAGAGAGATGCTGGGTGTGCACGAGAGAAAACAAAATAACGTTCACATATCTTTCCAACGCATTTCTCTCTTTCTCTTTCTCTCTCTCCCTCTCGCTTATTATAGCCTAAGTTATCTAAAAAGTTCAGTCTATGAAGAGTAATTGACTGTCAAATGTTGGCTCATAATTATCACAGAAAATTTCCATAAATAAGCGTAAATATTACTTATAGAAAGACTTAAGAGAAAAGAAAGAACGTAGGGGGGTGAAGTTCTTGAAGACAATCGACAAGAGAGATCACTCTTGTATTAAATGAATATTTGAATCAAGTTGTTGCGTAAAATAAAAATCTTCGGTAAATGATGAATTAGTTATTTTGCTTCCTTTAAATATCTCTCCACAAGTAAAGTTCTTCCATATAAAATTTCCCAGGATAGATCGATGATTTTTTTGAGTCATTTAAGATACATTCCGTATTTCACACACACACACACACACACATAGAAAAGTGCGCAATGGTCATTTTTGATAATTCTCATTTTATTTTCTTCTCGAGTTTTCGTTTGTAAAGTGTGGAAAAAAGATGGATGATATCAGATCGTCTTCAAGAATCTGATGTTTTATTGTCTTTCGTAATCGTTAACGTTATTGATTTGTCTTGAGGTTTCTGGACGCGTTTACTCGCTTGCGGAATATGCCGGTGATGAGATTGGCGAGCTTCATCGAGTTGTTCAACGACAATTCCTTTTCCAGCGTGATGATATTGTGCACCGCTCTGGAGAAGTCTTGGAGAGTCTGCAGCTCGATGATCGCCAGCGATTGTTGATTGCTGATCCTCACCATATCCCTCTTTATGGTGTCGCGTACGCTTAGGCCACGCACTACACACAAGTGCCTCAGATTGTCGGGCGTCTTTGAGAGTTCCGGAAGCCGGACGATCAGGCAGAATCTGAGAGTGTTGCCGAGAGCGTGCGGGCGCGCGGTCAGGAAGCCAAGCTTCTGATCTCGTTTGGATTTTAGTTTCCGGTCGAATATCATCATCAGTTTAGCCACCCTGACATAAGCGCGGCCTACCATGCCCGGCCGGTTTTCGCTGGTGCGACAGACGATCCTCAGATGATCCTGGACGTTCACCCACGCAGCGAGATCACCGGCTGTAGTAACGTACACGCCGCGTCCGTAGGGCCAATGCTTGCCATGAAGACGCCGGTCGTCGTTCAGCTCGTACTCCGTGATGGGTAACAATAGACCGGCCGCTGCCAATTGTGCTCGTATTGGACTAGGCTGATCGAGGATCTCGTTGAGGGTAAAGTATGTACCGGCCTCGTCCTCGCTGCTGCCCTCCGCCATTAAATCGGTGATCTCCGGGCTCATCAGCTCAGTAGTGATCTCCCTCTCGACCTCCTCCAGTTGATTGACTGTTAGTGTCAATGGCAGACTATAGTTGGCCAGGTTTCTGGTGCACTCTAAAACACCGGCTTGGATAAATTTACAGGTCGGATCTAGATCGTATTGCGTAATCGCGGTGACGATCGGTTCATCCGGCGGGATCTCCACGTCCTCCTCGTGTTCGATGTGGAAAAAATGCGGCAACGGATGATCGAGTAAATCGCCGCTCGCTGTGACGCAGTGCAACTCCCGGATGAAGGGATCGAAGAACTCCGTGAAAACGACATAGCTCTCGAAGTCGGGCGCTACTACTCCGTAACCCTGATCCTCGTCCGTGGAGTTGCTGAGACTCGAGCGGGCGCTGCTGGTCTTGCTGCCGTTGCCCGTGACGGTACCGTACCTTTTCAGGGCGGGCCAGATCACGTCAAACAGATTGTGGTCCATGCGAGTCACACGGTGCTTGATCAAATCGAATACGGGCCGTTTCAGGCAACGAGCGACTAGTGTACCGGCGTTCGATGGCGTCTTCGGTATCGACGATCGCCGGTTGCCCGCCAGCAATCGGAAACATCGCTCCAAGGTGGTCAGGATCTCGGGCTCGCTCACGTCACGTCGAGCTGAGTAGATATCACCTCCGGGAACTGTAGATCTCGGCAGCAGCGGTGATTGAAAGAATAGCCGGATTAACAGCCATCGCGACGTTGAGAGATATGAATTGACACGAAAGAGCGAGTAAGCAAATGTCACGGTTTAATGTTAGTGATGATTATCGAAGAGTCGAAATTGGGTTTTAGATGAAATATTCCGCTTAAAGAAGGGTATCGGAGCTATAAAACTGCTTTATACTAGAATGGATCAAAAAACAAGTATCTCTGTTTTATTATAATTTTTATTTACAACTTATGCACGAATTGGACTTATATTATATTAAAATAAAAACTAATGACTATTTAATATAGTCTTCGAGAAAATTAATGCACTTGTCCCACCTTGACACGAATTTCATCAATCTTTTCGAAGTGCATCAATCTTTTCGAAGAGAGGCTATATTGAAAAGTAATCATTAGTTTCTATTTTAACACAATAAGTCCAATTTGTGCATAAGTAATAAATAAAAGTCGTAATAATATAAGGAACCTTATTTCTTGATCCACCCTAATATATTATATCTTATAATTTAATATAGTGATCCTTTGGTGTATATCTAATACTGAAAAATATTTAGTTTTGTGAAGAATAAATATTTTAATCTCAAAAAATTTATGAGATTAATATGCGATGCAATTGTAAAGCTGATTTATAATCGGCGTTTTATCACGAAATCATAATTTTTTTTACCAATGAGTACAATAATTATATATATGTAGCATTTCAGTATAAAAAATATTGGATCGATAAGTGAATATTAGATTTAGTGAACTGATACTATTACATCTTAGCTCGATCAACACGCTGAAATGTTAAGTGTCGGATTGATTACGTGCTGTTATGAAAATAATCGAACGAAGCAAATCAAATCATTCCACAAAATCAGAAAGTCAGTAAAATCGAAACACTTGTGTGCTCAACAAGTATTTCGATTAGGATTCTTACGCGGTATTTGAGAGACGACTTGATTGCGCTTGTCTAAAAGAAAAGTATAAATCGATCATGAACGAAACTGGACATTATTAAGATAATCGAGAATTAACAAAGTTTCGTGTGCGGAGGAGAAACAATCAATGGATACTTCACGAAATCGCGACACATAACGTACTCTCGTGCCAAGTGCGACCATGTCGGATATCTTTACGAAGATTCCGACTTAAATCGAAACGATTCTCAATCACAATACACGAAGGATGACATCGCGAGGAAAAGTGCCCGGATAGTTTGCCGCGCGCGACTATTTTTACACTGTTACCAATTGGTGCTCACTACTGAAATGCCTCGAATAAACAAATACCTTTATCTGTTAACATCTCGTCGGCGAGTCTCTCGCTAGCCCCGAAATCGCGAAGAAGCCGTTTGTGCGATAGATCGCTTTGATTTTGCTTGTAATAATCCGCCTTATGTCCGAACTACACGATAAAAGATAATGTTTTATTTCGCTTGCAATACTAGTTTTGTCTGAACATTTTATATATGAGCGTTTATCGGAATAATAATTGTCTGCTCTTTATTAGAAATTAATAATTCTTTTTATTATTAAAATTATTAGAATCTAATAATTCTAATAATTTTTTTTATTATTAAGGTGATTAGAATCTAATAATTTCATAATTCTTGATTAGAATAAAAAATAATTCTAATTTTTCGTTAAAACTCAAAATTTTTTCTCATTACAAAATTTAATTATTTAATCAAAATCGTACGCGAAATTGCGATATTAATAATGAAGATCGTTTAATAATAGAACTCACGTTGTCTTGTATTAAAGGGTTGGCGCCCAGATGTAGCAAGAGGTTGTAATAATGGCCGTTATCCGCAAGGGTCGCGGCGTAATGCAACGGAGTACGTCCGTCGAGATCGATTGCGTTGGCGGTTTCTGGAAACCTTCCCGCCAGGTACCTGAATCAGATATAAAATATTAAATCTAACGTGACGTGGGTTGAGAGAGTGCAGGATTTATAGACTGTCATTCATAATGAGAGGCTATCGTGGCATGATCGGGATGAATCGTGGACTGATATCGATCGGCGATCTGATGACTGCGATCAGTTTGTAATAATTAAGCGATCGGTTTATTATTATCGAGCCCACCCTTGTCTGTTTGTTGAATCGACGAAATGGTTGATTCTTCAAGGAATCGTAAGATAGCGAGAAAAAACGGAGAACGCAGCGCGAATAGAAGATGTATGTTAAAATATATAAGAGTATGTATGTATGTGTGTGTGTATGTATGTGTAAAAATATATGTCAAGTACCTGATGACAGCAGTATTGCCAAATACAACTGCAACGTGCAATGGCGTTGCACCGTGGGGCGAGGATTCGTCTCGCGCCACCGCGAATTTACGCCGATCCAGGGCGTTTTGCAAATCACGAAGATTCCCCTCTCGCGCTGCCATGTGTACGGCATGAATTTTTCCCTAATATTAAGGAACGATATGTTTTACGTTAAATAATTAAGCGATCGGTTTATTATTATCGAGCCCACCCTTGTCTGTTTGTTGAATCGACGAAATGGTTGATTCTTCAAGGAATCGTAAGATAGCGAGAAAAAACGGAGAACGCAGCGCGAATAGAAGATGTATGTTAAAATATATAAGAGTATGTATGTATGTGTGTGTGTATGTATGTGTAAAAATATATGTCAAGTACCTGATGACAGCAGTATTGCCAAATACAACTGCAACGTGCAATGGCGTTGCACCGTGGGGCGAGGATTCGTCTCGCGCCACCGCGAATTTACGCCGATCCAGGGCGTTTTGCAAATCACGAAGATTCCCCTCTCGCGCTGCCATGTGTACGGCATGAATTTTTCCCTAATATTAAGGAACGATATGTTTTACGTTATATATATATATTTTTTCTGAATCTATTATAAGGATAACGTACCATGTAAGCTGGAACGTTGTCGATGAATGCCTGGAGTTCCGGATTTCCGGACTGCCGTCCGACCAATCGTCGGCCTTCGCCATTGAGAACCAAAGCTGCCAATTGTTCCATGTTGCCGTTCTCCAGCAGGTTCTCCACTTCCAGATCTTGGGCCATACTACCTTCCTTCAATTCTACTTCGGCAGGCTCTTCGTGTTCGCCAACAATGACCTGCTGTCATATTTAGGTACGCAATCATGCGCGCGACTAGGTGGCACGTAGGCGATCGATAGGAGATATTAATCGTATGTGGGAATTTTACATGCGATCGATTGTCTGTCTCTTGCCGCGCCTACGCGCGTTATGTATGCATACAGAGTGTCCGTAAAAGAAATATCTGTTTATAATGAGTCAAATCGATTTCTGTGTCTAGGGAACCGTCAAATATTTTTTGTCCAGTTATTAAAAAAATGTATTTTTTTTAATTTAAAGAATGTGTATATTATTATTATTGAATGCAGTTTTAAAAAAATTATCCATATACACAATTAATATATAAAAATTCCAAGCGGACATAGATGGAGAAATCCCGGTTTCTTCTTTGTATTATACAGGGAACAGTGCGGTGATTATGACAAAACGATTAAGATAATACCTGCTCTTCGTCAACGCCAGAATCGCCGGTGCTGGGTTCATTTCTATCTTCATGCTCAACGGCAGTTTCTTCGCTGACGGCGATTTCTTCGATCTTCGGGGATTCCTCGTCGACCGCGTCCTCGTTAACGGCGGCTTCAGGCCCGTCCTCTTCGTCTTTCGTCGGTTCCGCGACAGCCCCGGTTACCACATCATCGTCCGAGGATGCCTTCTCCTCTTCGTCCTCTTTTGTTTCCTCCTCCGCCGTATTCTGCTGCTCCTCTTCGTTCGTTTCCTCCGCATTTTCATTCGCGGCTTCCTCTTCATTATTCTCTTCATTCTCTTTTTCATTCTGTGCTTCCTCCTCGTCTCCATTCGGGGTCTCAACTTCCTCCTCGTCTCCATTCGGGATCTCAACTTCCTCCTCCTCCTGCTGCTCCTCATCGGCCCTCTTAATCTGTTCCACCAAATCTCCCATATAATCCTTCATATCGTAGATCTGAAATTGCGAATCGGGACTCCCCCCTTTTCTAATCAAGAAAAAAAAAATCTCTACCGTTCGACTACTCATTCTGGATGCGACACTACATTTGACCGGGATTTCTATGTCTGGCTACGCGTGTGATGAGTGCATTAAATAATTACTAATCAATATAAAAATGTATCATACAAAGAATGAATATTGTTAGAGGCAAGCTTAAACAGGCAGAATATTGTGCGTGTAAATATATAATTTAAAAAAATTAATAACAAATATACCTTCTCATTCGAGACATCCTTCATCGTAGACTCAGCACTACCGAAAGCACTCTCAATGTTGCTAACTACCTTTTTCATTCCTCGCATAGCGCTCTGTCCTAACTCCAGAATTTTCCAGTCCCAGTTTTTCGGATAAGTAGCGGAGACTCGAGGTGCCTCCGGTATCACCGACAAATTTGACAGGTCCACGTCCGAAGGGCGATTCTTGTAGAATGCAGGCGCCTTTTGTCTCTAATTTACAACAAAAAAATGCATAAAATATAATTATGCCAGGATATTTTGATTTTGAACAATTATTGTTTTCTATATATATATAATATAGCACTCACGTTATCTAATTTACTCTCGTCAGCTCCGTGTTCCGTCAGAAGATCGTACATGGCGCCGTCGTCTTTAAGTGCAGCTGCATAATGCAACGCTGTCTTTCCTTCGTTATCTTGGGCTGCTACTGTTTCGGGATGCCTTTCGAGGATTTCACGCGCAATATCCGTATATCCTAAACCAGCGGCCTTCCGACGAAAGGGATAAGAGCGATTTAAATTATGCTTTGCTTCTTAATAAATTAAAGAAAGATTTATCGGACAGCTCTCTCTTCAGAACTCTTATACCTTATGTAAGACATTTAAACCGTTGCTATCCTTGCCGCATAAAACAACAGGCGAAACACCTTCCATTTTCTGCTTGAAATCTTCCAAATCGTTGTTAACGACTGCTGTATGGACGTCTTTTATTGTGCCCTTTATAGGAAAATTTGGGTAATTTCATTTGATAGCTTTTTATATAAGCTGTCATAATATATGTTGATGTTTTTAACTTTATAAATAACTGAACATACAAGCGAGAAATTATTTTCATATTGATTCTGATACTATACCATAATGAAGGGTGTGGCCTCTAAGAATTTTCTTATCCGAGGATTATTGCTAGTTTCGCATCGAAGTTTGGACCCATGTCCCTCCCACAGCATCTGCTGCAACTTTCCAATGTCTCTGTTGTGGATCCATATCCTGATATTGGAAGGTTTGAAATCCAGAGCTTGAGCACAAAAAACATCACGATTTAAACAATATCTTCAAACATGATTTTTTTGCGTTAAGAAACTAGTGTGTGACGGGATTTACTCTTTGTTGTGTTAATAAAACTGATAAAGCTATTGGAAATATCTTTCAATAGTATGATTCGTCAGACAGTTAAATATTATGAAATATAAATATTAGACGAAGTGAAAAATGTTTATCTTACGAAAGCTATTCAGTTTTTTGTCAGTACATTTGCAAATCTAGTATTTAAAATTTAAGTGGTTTTATGATTTTCTTCTGTATGAGTGAAAAATATTTAAAAATGCATACGATAAAAAATCTTATTTTAGATAATTGCATCAAACAATTTTTAAAATATTCTCTTTGCCTAAAATTATGAATAAAAATACCTGGAAGATCAGGACATTCTCAGGGAATTTTTTTACAAAGTTTGAGTAGACGCTCTGTATATGTCAAGGATTATTTACATAATTTATAAACACGAAAAAATTTGCTAGGTAAATGCATATGTAGAATCCGAACAATTGTACCGGCTTGTGTATTCGAAAATTCTCATCGTTAAAAATAGATTCGACCGCGTTCAATTTGTATGTATCGGTGTGTCTTCGATAATAGTGTTGCATGCACATGTTTCACTTAATATTTTATATCGTCAAATTGATAAATTTTCTAGGAGGCCAAGCAAAGAAAAGAGGTCTGTCATATTACTGACACCGAGTTGCAAATTGTCTACAATGTATATAGACATCGCGTTACTCGGTAAAGAAGAAAACTTGTGATACGCGGCTAGTATTGTTTACAATTCTCTACCTGCCATGCACCGATGTTTCTAATAAATTATGGCCACGATCGCGTTTATAGAATGTTACAATCACGCGAGATTTTTTCAAGGATTAAACGAGCAAATATACGAAAATACAACAATGTGATAATTCATTTTGCGTTATCCAAAATATCGTTATTTAATGTGCGAATAGTTTTAATTGCAAGGAAATTAATTTTTTATTCTGCGATAAAAAAAGATGAACAATATAATATTTATCGAACTATTTTCATATACGAAAGCTAAAACGTTAATTGATAATTAATTTTAATCTATTATTCAAACAATAGCACGAACAATTTAGCAAATTTCTTATGCAATCGTACACGAGCAGTAGACGATCGGAATGCGTGTTTATTGGAAATTGCTTTTGCTACAATCTTCGAGCTAGCATGTCGAAGAATGAAGGACGAGTTCTTATCATTTTTTCAAATCAGTCTCTCTTACTCGTTGACGATAAGTCGATCCACGACCTATTTATGTGAGCGAACCCGTTTAACGAGGAAAAAGACTCATTCCTTTTCATATATAATTATCTTATTTTGCAATGTATTATAATTTATTATCACATGTTAGAGCTCTTGACTATCAATATTTAAGACGCATTAGAACAAGTGTATAAATATTTCGTATATGTCTAAAACATGATATACTTTTCTCTTTCGCGTTTAGATGCGCTATGTAATTCATGCTGGATGGACGCGCGCGCGGTAATTCCCCGTTTCGATCGTGTCGTATCGAACGTCGCAGTTAGCCTTGCCTTACGAATTTATGTGCTATCGATTTTTCGCGGTCATTAGAAATGAATACGCGAGGTACCTAAGGCGAAGAATCTATATCCGCGAATATAGGAAACAGACGAAATTACTACTTATTACTACGTATAGTGCCTCGTCGTAAAGTTGCCCGACGTTTTCTCGAAATTGTTCTAATGACTTACTAGCAAAGTCAGACCGAGATACGTAATATTTAAACTTATCTACGCGGTGTTTAAAGTAAAAAGTGTAAATGGATGTATTGTAAAATATAGTCTAACAAACTACTTTGGAAAAATATACTCTGTTTTTTTCTTCCAGGAAAGAAAAATATTTGCATATCACGCACGTAACGTAGAAAAAAAGGAAGAAAAATATAATTATTATTATTTTTTTTTTTTATAAATAAGGTGTTCGCGTGTTTCTCACATATTTATCTTTTAAAATGAAAATATTTGTACTCACAATCCTTCCCGGTGCTTTTTCTTCGCGGCATCACTTCCACTTCGGGTAATTCAATTTCCGTGGGATGTTTCAAGTAATAAGCAGCCGGCTTTCCTCTCTTGTCACAAATACTAGCGTCGCATCCGCCTTCTATAAGAAGATCCCAGATCGAATCAGGATCTTTACACGTGCCGCAATAGTGTAAAGCTGTTTTTCCCTCCTAAACACAATACATAGTGAAATATGCGTAGGATATGATTTTGTAATTACAATTAAATTTAGAATTTACAGAATTTATGTTTTCGATATGTGTATGTGTGACTATGAATACGAAGAGCAAGAGTATTGGGGCTAATATGCAGGGCCAGAGTCGCGCTTCTTGTCCCGGGTGTATTTTCTGATGTAAGCTGACGGTTGCGAGGGAAGAACAGGTGGTTTACACTTCGTTATTATCCGCGTCACGCGATGCGGGGTCATAATAAACGTTGCTAGAAGCAAACTAGGAGGAAACTAGTCGATTATTCAGCGGCTTCTTTTTGAGAGAGTCGACAAACGTTTGCCTTGCGGCACGATTCCGTCGCGAAAATGGGTCTCGCGAAGCATCGTGAATTATAAAGGATAGTCGATCGAAACTCATGCTCATTAAGATCTATGTATATGAAACAAAGTGATTAGACAGACATCGCTTTTTAAATAAAGAACGAATTGAGAAAAGTTTGCTCAATTAATTCTATTGCTACGTAAAGTGATGATCAAAGCTTTTCATTATTTGACGTCTATCTCGAAGTTGATGTCCAAGACCCATCGATTGCAATTACTCGAGTGTGTACAATTGAATTTCTTGCGGTATGTATATTTTTCGGCATGCAAACAGCGATTTAAAAAAAAAATCGGCACGTACTTTATCTCTCTGTTGCGGCGTAATAGGATAATTTTCTACGAGCCAGGTGACAATGTCGGGTTGATCGTGATAGACCGCTTTGTGTATCAAGGGCGTGCCGCAAGAATCCTTGGCGATCGCCAGCTTCTTCTTCGACTCTTCGGAGATGATCTTCTGCGTTTCGTCTAACGAGCCGCGCGCAACGGCATCGTGCACTCGAGAGATCTTCGTCTGGAATAAATATTAATCTTTATCGGTGGTTCGTTAAAGGAAACCTTGCCAAATTGAAAATAATTTCTCAAACAGGCAGAATTTTTGATGGCCTCTGTGATTTTCTTACCAAATAGTTCGGGAGTCCCTTCAGGAAGACACGAGTTCTAAGATCCTGTGAATGTTCGCCTAATAAACGCGCGCCTCGACCCTCCAACACGATATTTTCGAGTTTCTCAAGTTCGCCACGTTGCAACCAATTTTTTAAAGCCGATGAATTCATTTGGGCCTCTGCAATAAAACAAAATAATTTCAAATTTTTTTAAATGGATATATATTAATCATAATATAAGAAAATGATTTGTGTGTAAAAATATTTAATCTTTCTTCCAAGCAATTTATTTCATTTCACGGAACGCGTGATTGTATTCGCTATTAATAATGAAAATTACATAGGAACTTCGCAATATGCATTTTACAATCTATAAGGGGCCAACACAGATAGATTTTATAGACAGTTTCTACCGGTTCCTCTTTGTTATTGATTCGCATGTTCTGACGGCATTTTCAAACGGTATTTTCGATCGCATATCCATAATGTTATATGGATGATTGTCGGCTTAGAATGTAATAACGATATTCATGACACGCGAAACTTAATATTTGTCGGAAGCCCGCAATGAGAAATGTTCCGATATACGGTTAGAAAGTATTAATATATGTAGTTTCAAAAAAACTTTCAATTAGGGTTTCCCGATTATTCAAATTTAATTATACGATTTATATTTTGCGATAAATATTATATCAATCAATTCTGATGTGGTTTCAATAATTATATTGTGTGGTTTGTGGTAATGATAAAAAAGACGCCGCGCTCTATTACGGAACTATAAATATTAAACGACTATCTAATCATGTTTGCTGACTAACAATAACTCATAGATTTTAAATGGTATATTTAAATGGTCTCTATCGCGTTAAATCTTGCTAGCTATTTACTTAAACGAGGCGAACGCAATTAATGGAACACTGACTTTTCCTCTTACGATCTGTGAATTCCCTGCTTCTGTCTATTACGTGCGTAGAATTCAGGGAAATGTAAATATATGTGGCGTACATCATCGTAATGTAATTTATGTGATTTTATTTATGCACAGACACGTACATCTATTACTGAACATCCTTTAATTAAATACGTTTCACCTTAATATGTGTCTATATAGACTTTTTACTCTTATGAAGATGAATATGAAGATGAATATGAAGATGAATATGACGATCATTCTGTGATAAATACATTATAAATAAAGATTCGTTTCTTTTAACATTTTCTGTATTACTATATTACAATTGCATTACATATTAATGCATTATACATATATTATTTACATTTTATTATTGAAAACATATATTACGACTGTAAATTTTATATCAATAAAAAGTAGATTAATAATCTTTTTATTTAATTATTTTTTTTTATTTTCTGTTTTCTAGAAAATGTGGTAAAATTAGCAGTTGTAAGATAACGAATAAAGTGTTTCGCATCTTGTAAGATGATTTGCAAGGTTTTTGTGCGTGAATTTTCAACAATACGAATTTCACATAATTGTGTAAGAAAGTACGATCATTAATTAGTGCATGATAAAATCGCCTCATATGATTGAAATATCTGTGCATCTACTTTTTAAGTTTAAACAGATATATAAACAGAAGTCGTCAATATGTATTATTTAGATTGAAATTGCAAATGTTGCAAAAGAAATCTCAGTGCAATTTTGCAATTATATACATATTAATAATTTTTTGCACAAAATTTACATTTTTAAATATGTGCTTGAACAGATGTAGAAATCGAAACAAAAGAGAAATTCGACGTATTAAATTCTGAACAGCAACGTCGAATCTTTTCGATATCTATATATGAAAAAAAGGAGACATCCTTCTCATTTCTAAGCGAAAGAAGATTATCAAAAAAATATGTACATGAATCTCGAAGAATAGAAGAGAAGTACCTGATGGGCCCTGACTCGTTCTACCATCATATTTGTGCGTCGATTAATCGGTCCGTGCGAATCGAGAAATACGCGCCTACGAATATGGCACGCACACACACATACACACACGCACACACAAAGAGGCTTCGCGACGCACGTGCGACACGAGAAAGCGTCGCGCGTCGAATGAAGCCGATGTTGTTTGGCGTCGCGACGCCAGCCGGTTTCCCGGAACGATCCCCGCGAAAGAGGATTCTTTACGTGGGAGTCGCGTCCGGATGGATAAATAAAAAATTAAGATCGATCAAGAATTCATGTTTATAGCTCGGACACAGTCACGAGTAATTTCTTCCGGCAGAATTTCATACTTTCATACGGATATAGCGTTGCGTTTGATCGACTTATAAAATAGAATAAACAATATACTAGTGTTTATCTCTCCTTGGCTGTGTCAATAACCGCGTAACCGTGTGTATGTCCTAGTATTGTTATAAATTAGATCCGAGATAAGCGTAACCTAGAAAGTTATTAGAGTCTGGTGAAATAGAGTCTTCCAATAACTTATCGTGAGCGTTAGGTTCTTTTTTTTTTGTTTCTCGAAAATTAATTTATTATTGCATTTTTTCTAAATTAATTATCATTGAAAAAGTTTGACACGATAAAGGTTAATAATTACTGATATTCGAGAAAAAAGTTGTTAATGTGCTACAAGCAAGCAAACCCGTTATACTCGCGATAAACTCATCAGATAAAGTGATTTCATTATACAAATGACATATAAGTACAAGTTGGCATTATTAAAGTTGAGCAGCAAGGTCAAGGGTACAAATATGTTTCCGAGAATTGAGACACTTTTTTTTTCGTGAGAATGCGCGTCAGTATGCCATTATGTATAGCTGAATGATTATATTTATGTATTGTTTATATTAATTCAATAATAATTAATTGTATAAATATATACTTTCTTTATTAATCGAATAAATCTCTCGTTCAGTATTTAAAATAACCTCGGTCGATATCCTCCCGAAAAAGAATTTTTTAATGGATGACTCTTATCTCTCTTTCAACGTTTTAACCTCGATGTATACGTTCATGTGATTAAGGAAATGATTATCGACTATCATACGTTTGTTTCGTCCTCCTCTAATTTGCAATGTTCTCTAATTTTCCATTTTTTTTCGTCGTTTCTCTTACTTCCCAAGTAGCAAGATGACGTCAAATAATTTTAATAACGTCTTATTGACGTTAGAAACGTCATTAAGACGTTATTAAGACATCATTTAACGTCACCTTGCTACTTGGGTTATTTACTCTCGCATCACGATGATCTAATTCTACGTTAGTGAGTACAGTGCAATGACACATCGATCATACTATAGTTTATAAGTATCTGTATATTGTCTTGAGAAACGCTCTTTAACCGATTTTTCAGCAAAATAATATAAAGCTTATATATTAAAATGAATTGATAAATTAGTTTATATATTTGGATTGAATAAGTGTTTTAAAATAAAATAAATCTATAATAATTAATTAGTTCAATTTTGAAAGTTGCAGAAATAAATTGTGCAAGTATTGCATGTGCATCTCTATATGATTTAAAACTACAATAATCACCTTTTTGAGCGTAGCTCCACAGGGTTTAATGAAGAAATAAGATATTATCGAAATCGTCTTTGTCGCGCAGATAAATATATCGTACTATTTAATAAAAATCCCCATGTTTGTTTTTTCGCGAGATTCGTTGATGATCAATGATACTTTATTTTCGCGAGATTCGTTGATGATCAATGATACTTTATTTGACTCGCTTTTGCATCGAAAGTGTCTTCCTGATTCATCGTATTAGACTGTTTTTCTATCTCGAATCGGAACAAACGCGTTCGAAAGCTATGAGCCACTTCGCAAGACTGACGATGTATAGTTTTCCACGTGTCCTATTCACCCAAGTTCTATATTATTTACGAGAGGTATAGTTAGAAAGTGTGTGGAGCTTTAGTGCCATAATGCCTTAACGTGAGAACGATAATCAAAAACTTAATGGTCAATATTTGGGGATGTAATAGAATATATTTATTGTTCTGGACATTTTCGAAAATTCGCGAGAAAATTGAAACATCTTATTTTATGGAATATCAAAAAAAAAATAAGATTTGATATAAAATATATAATATAAGATTCGATAAAATAATATAGAGTCATTTTACGATTTCAACGATAATCTACTTCTATTGTAGCGCAAATATTATATTGTCGTCAAATAATCGATCCTACTGAAATTTAGGCCAGATATATCCCAATTATCTAATGCTGTGCGTAAAGAAGTGCTTTATGATGTTAAAAGTTATATACATGATCGACCACACGCGATGACCAATTTAATAGAAGGACACATATAACCTGCTGCGTATGGCGATTTTGATTACTTTTATTTATTTGAGTGTATCGGGTGGGATCGCGTAAATTTTCGAGCGTTAGCAAATTCCGATTATCATTGTGCAAAAGTGAATAGCTCAGCTTTAAAAAGAGGACTTGGCAGTTCAACGATCAGAGCAACCATTGTCACAAAGTTGTCGCGAGTTGTGCCATTCACTTGTTTCAAAAGTGCGAGGTTTAAAAATGTTCACGCCGATTTTTGCGCTTTTCCTGTCCTCCATGGTTCTTGCTACCGGTAAGAGTTTTACTTTTAATGATTTATTATTGTTAAAAAATCGACTATTTTTTAATAATTGAAATTTGTAAATAATTTTTAAATTTTAATTTTGTTGGAATAATTAATTTTTAATCATTTGACGTTTTAGACATGAACTTGAACAGAACAGATTTGAAATGCGTGGGACATGCTTTCCATAATGTGTCTCTTTCCGCATATTATCCCGTGTTTGGGACAAACGACAAACGCAATCACTTGGATGATCGAGGAAAAATGTTGAATACTCTCCAGGTTTGTAATTCGCGATATACATATCGTGCCATCCAAAAGGATAATTTGCTAATTGTTCGTTATGTTACACATATACAAATTCGTTTTAGGATTATCTTGATGGCCGCACTCGTTACGTCACTGTCGCCGGTAATTTAAGATCCGGCATTTCGTACGGAACGAGGATATGCATAGAAAAATTAAACGAGCGATTCGGGAAACAAATTTTCCTACAGGTGCGTAAAATTATTATATTTGTCACATTTTTAACAAAAGTGTTAGGCTTGGTGATATCTTAATTTAATTTTATTTTATTTTATTTAATCTTATTTTATTTTATTTTTGTTAATTTACACATATTTAACAGTTTTAAAAAATTAATTTATTTATCCTATGTGTGTGTGTCCTCCAGATAAGAGATCAAATTGATTATGAAAACAATGACGTTGCAAATGATTTCTCGAGATTGGAAATTTGCGTCAGGACCGAGGAGGATACTTATGATACTTACGTCAATGATATTGTTACTATTTATGTATAATAATCACATACAGTAAAAATTATATATCTTTGTATGTATGTTAATTTAATCAATAATAGTTTTAAATTATTATTTTATAACAAAACATATATGCTTTCTTTCTCTTTCTCTTTACATAAAATTGAATTAAATCATATTTTAAATAAGGATTGTTTACTTTATTTTTCCAAATATGTATTAACTAGCGAAATGACATTATAAAATATGAAATTATTGATGATGCGAAATCTAACACTTAAAGAATCGAAATGCACTGCAAATATTAAAAGATACAGAGATCCTCGTAAATTGTATGTCTATTTCAATAAATCACAAAATTGTAATTTATAAATATTTTTTAATCGAGCCATTTTTGTGTTAGGTCATATTAAAAATAATCCTTTATGTGGCAGCTTCCGTCCAATGAGGCCACGATTGTATCATTGCGTAAAGATCATTTCCGGGACAGGCAGTTGCCCAGGTTTGTCGATGTCCAAGAAGTTTGTAGTCACTTTTTACTTCGTCATTATCCACCCCACGTGCGATCAATTTAGCTACTGCTTCTATCGCAGTCGCATTTGGTGTTCGGTCTAACAAATGAGAAAGTATATTAGAGATTAACATTAAGATAACAAGTTCGTATTATCTCCAATATCGCTTACTGCTGTAGTCTCCAAGGATACAAACTCCAATACTCCTGTTGTTGTAAGGTATGGAATGAGCACCCTTTTTGCCCCAGCCGCGGCCTTCGTAAACGTTTCCGTCTTCGCCGACTATGAAATTATAGCCAATATCGTCCCATCTTTTATTATCCATATGATAGTTCTAGAAACAAGATTCGAAAATCACTACAAAGTACATCAGATTTATTGTTTACTAAAATACGCGAAATAAAAAGGCAAAATGTGAAAACAGGTTTATCCTATTAATAGAACACATTTGTTTCTAAATTCTAAAATATTGCTCGATTCAATCAGGCTTGATCAATTGCGCGCAGTGAAGAATTAAATACTTGTTATTTAGAAAAGATTTATGTTGTCAAATTGATTACCTGGATACTTCTCACTTTCAATTCACACTTTTCTTGGGTCTCGCAACCGGAAGTAGCCGAATGATGAATGAGCACGTAGGGCGCTGGTATTATTTTAAGATCGGTAGCTGGTGATTTCGGTGCTCTAGCGCCCCATTGCGCCCTAGAAATAACGTTTAGATCATCTGGAAAAACATTATTAAAAATTATTAGATTGCTAATAAAAATTAAAGACTGTACTTTACAATATATGAAAATAATCATGGCGTGAAATTTCAATTAAATCAATTAAAAGTTAATTTTAAAACTGTATAATTTATTTAATTAAATTTATTTTATAACATTTTTTTTTGGTAAAAATAAAGATTTGTGAGCATTAGACATGTTTTTAGATGACCTCTTAATGTTTTACATAAACAGAATATTTTATATCGTTCAGCTAACAATATTGCTTGTCAGAGTTGATACTAATAAATAATTGTAAGAATATATGACTCATATGTAATTATGAAATAATTAAGCATTTCTTTCTGATTTCTATTTACGATAGAAAAAACATGAACATAAGAGAATATTTCTATAAATAGAGGAGAATAAAAACATTTATTATTTACAAATTACATTCATTTATAACTATCACATCGTAGCTTGAAGAAGAATTTATGCCAAATGCAAATGATCATTTTACTGATGTAACAGCGATTATTTTGCGGTCATTTTTCTAATCGCGCGAGATGCTTACACTTTTCTAATAACTTATTATGCGGAGATTAACACATCTCTATTCTACTTCATGCAAGTAAATTTAACCACAACATTCATTATAATTATTGCACTATTAATCAATCAATCAACAGCAATTAGCGTGGAGCCCCAAGCATGAAAAAGAATAATGACGGTTTAATCGATGAAGAAAATGTCAAAACAAAATGGAAAAAGCTCATTTATCAATATTGCACAATAATATTGCGATAACCTTGTGTGTACCTCAGTGAGGTATATTTCAACGCGTTAGCTCGATATCTCGAGAAATTGCAATTGAAAGAGATACTATATTTATAAAAAATTTTGTATCAACTATCGTTGTATGAAAGTGACAATAAAAATTCTGCCATGTCTATGCAAAATATTCTCTTGCAGCGACAATTTTTTGCGCACAAATATGAAAGATATATCTAAAAATTCCGGATATAAGGTAAAGTTCACGGCTCGCATAAATAATATATTGAATGAGAATTACTGGCAGCAGTCTTCTGAACGACGAGTGTTCTGTAGACCGTCGTGAAAATTAACGTCGCCGTCGTCACGATGTACATTTTGACTTGCAATACGATAAACTGATGCGACACAGTTTCGATACAATATATAAGTTCTCTCAATTAAAAATGTGTTATGTTTGAAGCATGATCTTTGACCGTATAATCGATAGCAAATGCGTACATATACGTGTACTCATACATGCAGATTAGTAACATTCTCTCAACTGGATTTCCCCTAACTAATCTGATGACTTATTTGACAGGTTACGAGAGAAAATGGAGAAACAGACTTAAGCCTACCGCACACGGTGTTTGTTTTTTTGCTGGATATTTCTGCTGATTGCCGTGCGGGCTCCCCCGATTGGAGTCGTGCCGATAGCGCTGCTGGCTTGGCTTCAGATGGAGCGCGTTGCTGGTTTTGTCGCTTGTAGAAGACGCTGATGAGTTTAGCAAACATGGATGCTATTGACATATTGTATGACCATGCAACAGCTCACTGTGTTCTGATCGGCTCTTCTCGTGAGCCAGCAGAGAAGCCTGCTAGAAAAATAGTACGGGTTCAATCACCGAATCCTAGTAGGCTAGTCAGCAGCGCGGTCCTCAGTGACGTCACTTTGGCCGTGTTCCACAATTCACTATAAGTATTGAAAATCTATAGTTCACGTAACATATATTGTAGATTTTTAGTATTATAGCAGTGAATTTCGGAACGTGGCTCTCAGCACAACTGCCATCACAGTTTCAAGCAAGCGATCCAGCAAGGAAACAAGCACCGTGTGCGGCGGGCTTTAACAAGAATTTTAATGTCGATAATATTGTGCAATTTACATACTGGAAGAAGGAAAGGAAAAAAACGCATTGCCTTATTTCTTTTATTATAATATTTATAATTTTAGATGCGCTTTATTAACAATTGGAACAAAATTGATAATAGAAAATTTAATTATTATATGATATTTGTACGATATAGGTGTACGATATAATTATTTTTAAACTTACTATATTATAAGTGGAAATGGGAGATTCATAAAATATGTTTTATAATATATATATATATATATTTCTACATTTATTTTATTTTTCATACAAATACTGATGTATATAGATAAAACGTCTTTTAAAAAATTACTAATATACGAGCATAATGCAGGATGCAAAAGACAATACTAATGATTACTTAAATTATATTAAATATTAGAATTATTTTAAAATTATTATTTTATTATTTTAAACATTATAATTATTTGCACACATAAATGTGAAAATAATAAATACAAGGAACAATATGTCTCGCTATTTATTTGTATTTTGTTTAAGAGGAACAGACTTTTTTAGGAAACATTAACGATCCAGTTGCACTGATATTGACCTATCAATAATATGATGCATGCAGAATCAATATTGACAAATACGTAGCGACATTTCGATTTGCTCGTGTTTTGATCGAAGTTTCGATTAGCACGAATGACGAAACGTGCTTAAAAATTTGAAACCATTATCAATTCTTATCTCCTCTGATTTCCCTAAACTTTGTACAAAAAACATTAGGTCTGTTCTTTATAGCTGAACTGGCTGCACTAGCTCAGAGGCCTTATTGTCGAAAAATATCACATACGATATTTGTCATTACGTAGCTATTTTGCGATACGTTTTAGCTGCGCAATGACAAATATCGTATGCGATATTTTTCGAGAATATAGCCCCTGAGCTCATCTTTCTTCTTCCAATGTGAAGAGAAAAAGATAAACTAGTGCAGCCAGTTCAGCTATAAAAAACAGACCTATTATATGGTAATAAAGCTGTGATTATGTTACATTATGCGCGATACCGATTATCTTATCGATTTCACATGTCCGGCAGAACAATGTTCTTACAGTGGGCATCCCCGGGAGATAAACGATTTTTATGATTGATTAATAAATTAATGTTTTAATTTTTTTTTTTTTAGATTTATCATTCGAGGACGTTTAAATGGCCCAGTTTTTTCTACGTTAAAGTGACTAAAAAAGACTGCAAAATCGAATAGCTTTTTTTAAACATATATTATGTAATTCTAATGCAATTTTTTTGTAAGCATAGATATCTATCCTGTTATTTTTAATTGCAACGTAATACAGATTCAATTGTTGCAATGTCCATAAAATTTACATTGTTCATATTATAGCGCACGTACATGAAAAGATTTTATCGGAGTAACCTGTACGAAATTAGTTTCCTCATAGGCAATCATGTGTAGTGCTATAATATTCAAATTACCATTGTCATTAATTAAATTTCCGAAGGCTTTTAGAGAATAATTATTGTAACAAGTATAACCATATAAAAGTATGGGGCTTGCACGCGAACTGACAATGAGATAAGAGTGGCATTGATCTTATTCGTCTCGTGTAAAAAATGTTTATATCACTAAATATCATTGACTTAATTTCTGGAAGTTTGTTGATATTTTTTATAATCTGTCTAAAACTGTACGCGCACGTTCGTCCGTAAACGCATACACATACACATGTATCTACACATATATACACATATATGCATAAATACGTATATATAAATATATATAAATCTTTTTTTTTAACTTTATCAAATAAAGAGCTCTTTTATATTACGTAATAAATAAAAAATCTTCTTCGCGGGAAAGTTGTTTTTTTACGAAATGACCGGCGAGAATGTTTCGTGATAACAATGATAACAAAGATAAGAGGTAGCAATGGTTATCTAATATATCGAGATGCTATTACATTAAACAGCATAAGAGAGCGGAATCTGATTATTCTTCTTCAACTTTACATTATCTTTTAAAAACTTAGAACAGAATGTTATTAACATAATTATATAAAACTTTGTCGCATTTTTTTACATTAATTTTTATAAAAAAGAAAAATATATGGAAAATTGACATAAAATAAACTGTAAGACTTTTTACCTTATTTTAACAAGAATGATGCAATTTGTAGTATTGCATTTATAATCTCTTGTTACATCAAATCTTCATTTTATACTGACTTAGGATTCAGCATGATTTCATTATAGAGTGGCATTCGACGTGTCGTTCTCCTCTACGGTGTCGTCTTCTTGCACCATCGCATCCGTCGTGGTGATAGTCCCAATGGGAATCGGATTCGCGGTCCAACGGGGAAGGGTAATTACGTACTCGTAAAAGCTTTGGCCAGGGCACTCCGTATTCCGCGCCTGTCGATGACCGAGTACATTATAATTATCGCTTATCTTGCCAAGTGAAACCCCGCAAGCTATCAGCGCGTTCAACGTATTCAGGGCGACTGGATTCGGGAGGAAATCTGCGAAATCATATATTTACATGCGTCAAAATAAATTTTTGTTGATGCAAATAGGTTACGAAATAATATTTCAAAAAATATGTTTTACATATTATTTTATATAAAAAATAGATTTTACTGGTAAAATTTATTTGAAAAATAATATATGTATCTAAGTAATTCATTTTTGATCCCCTGATGTAATAATTTTTTAATTTAATGTTTTTTAACAAAAAGAAAAGAGAGAAGAAACTTGACAGTTATCATTGTTAGCGGGTACAAAATGAGAGAGAGAATATTAAATTTAAGTCACTTTTATTATCTATTTTGACTCTCGCGGCTCTAACTAACGGTGTGTGTGTGTCGTCGCGCGGCGGCTGCTTATATACGGCAGCAAAATACAACCGATCTTTTCAAAAGGATCCAATTGCGCGAGAGCACGTCTCGGTATCCGTCCTCGGCAGATATTATATCGACAAACAACAAAAAACAGTAAATACGTGAGCAGGTATGATCCTAACGGTTATCTTGTTATGCCGAAAAGTCGCTAACATCATTTTCAATTTATTTACTTTTTCTCGATGAAAATTATTGTTTTAATATTTACTCGATGATATTGCAATTTCTTAATGATATTATAATAATATATTAAATACCGCTGAAGTCTCCTAGGATGCATATGCCGATGCTCTGGGTGTTGTAGCCAGGTGCATGCGCGCCAACGTAATCCCAGCCGCGACCCTCGTAAGCGTTGCCGTCTTCGCCGATAAGGAAATTATAGCCGATATCCGACCAGCCCCGATCGTCCATGTGCAAGTTCTGGTAAGATCTAACGATCTCAGAGCACGACTCCTGGTCCCGACAGTACTTACGTATACCACCATGATGGACCACCACATACGGCGTCGGTGTCACTGACAGAATCTGAAAATTCATGGGTTTCCTGGCCTCCCATTCGCTTCGGCTGACGATCCTCGGGCACTCTGGATAGCCAAAAATCATCCATCATTGTCATTAATAGATATATTCCCGAGTTCACTCGTCAAAGATTAAATGTGTTTGGAAGAATGATGTTGGATAATTTGTAAATTGATACGCAATTTATAAATTCTTGCTAATAATTGACGAAGAGCTAGTTGGCGCGGACCTCACAAGAGCGCCTTTATAAAATATAATATTACAGACCTCAATATTTCATTTGAAACTTATGAATCAGCTAACAAGTTAGTAAACACATCTTCAACAATTAGTTGCGCAATTGCAAATGTATTTCTACGTCACGCAGGATGATATTGTCCACGAGACACGACACTAGAATGCCGATCGGCGAATCCTCGAGTCATAAAATAATTTCGGTCCGAGCACTATGCATTCCT